GGGGTCGTTTTTTGGGGTCGTTTTTTGGGAGGTGGGAACTGCCCGGGTTCATTTTTTGGGGGGGGGGGAACTGCCCGCAGCCCCCCGGGGCTGAGCCCCCCAGGGAGGGGGGACAGGGCTGTCCCCCCACCCCGAAATTCATTTATAGCACCAAGAGTTCGGCCCCCCCGGGCCCCCCCCCCCCTATTGCACTTGGGTTTGGGATCCTTTTCCAGGTTTTCACCATTTTTTACGGGTGAAAATCCCTTTTTTTTTAGGGTTTTTAAAAATTCATTTTCTCATTGAAGCTCAGCCCAGGGGCCCTGGATTGGGGGGGGACAGTGGCACTTAGGGGGGGGGGGACCCCCAGGGGGTGGAGAGGGAATGACCCCACCCCCCAAAATAAAAGAAACCCCTAAAATAACCCAAAAATTCAGGTTTTAGCCCCAAAAACCCGATTTGTCAAAGTGCTCCCGGGGTGAGAAAAGGGGAGGGGGGGCGGGGGAGGAATTTTGGGGAGGGGGGAATTGAAAGGTAAAATTGGGGGGGGGGAGCAGCTGGAAATGATCAAAGCCAACGAAAACACCCCAAAATTCCCCATTCCCGGATACAAACCCCCCTCCCCAAAAATCAGAACAAACCCCCCCCCCAAAATCAGAACAAATCCCAAATTTGCTTTGCCTCCGGGGGTGGGGGGCGGATTTTGGGGGTCCAACCCCCCCCCCCCCGGGGTAAGTGCTCATTGATTTGGGGAGGGGGCTGGAGAGGGGGACCCCACTCGGTTCAGGGGTGGGTTGGGGTCCCAAAATTTACGGGGGGGGGTCCCCGCCCCGGTTTTGGGGTCCCCCTTTAGGGCTGAGGTTCCCCCCTGGTTTTGGGGGGTTTGGGGGGGGTCCCCCCCGGAACTGGGGGAGGCGGCGCTTGGGAATTGCACGAGAGGAGCGGGAATGGGGGAAATTCAGGGAAAAAAAGGGGGAATTGGTAAAAAAGCACGAAAAAATAGGGAGGGGAGGGGAGGGGAGGGGAGGGAAGGGAAGGGAAGGGAAGGGAAGGGAAGGGAAGGGAAGGGAAGGGAAGGGAAGGGAGGGGAGGGGAAGGAAATGGGGAGGGGAAGGAAATGGGGAGGGGAAGGAAATGGGGAAGGGGCAGGATAAGGTCGGGAAGGCTGAAGTGCAAATCGAGACTTTGCTCGCGGCTCATTTTCTTGCTTTGGGTTGTCCTCGACACCCCCAGGGGACACCGAGACCCCCCCCCCCATCCAGTGCCACCCCCGGGGACAGAGGGGACATCAGGGACCCCCCCCCAACCCCGCAGTGCCACCCCTGTCACCCCCAGGACCCCACGCCGTCCCAGGGGGACACGGGTGCCGTTGGTGACCCCGGTGCCCCCGTGGGTGACAGCGGGGACAGGGAGGGGTGGCAGGGAGGGGGACAGGGTGGGGACAGGGTGGGGACAGGGTGGGGACAGCGTGGGGACAGCGTGGGGACACTCACCCGCCCTGGCCGCCTTCGCTCCGCCGTCCGCTCCGGAGCCACCGCGTCCCCCCCCAGCCCGTGGGGACACCCCGGGGGCGCCTCGAGGGACCCCTGGGGACACTGAGGGACCCCGAGGGGCGCCTGGGGCAGCTCTGGCAGCGTCTGTCACCCCCGGGGACATCGGGATCGGAGCCGGGGGCGCGGGGCCGGTGGCTCCGGGGTCCCAGGGGGAGGTGACACCCCTGGGATTTGGGCCAGGGGGAGGTGACACCCCCGGGATCAGACCCCAAAGGGATTCATCCCCCCGGGATCGGGGCCAGGGGGAGGTGACACCCCCGGGATCAGACCCCAAAGGGATTCATCCCCCCAGGATTTGGGCCAGGGGGAGGTGACAGCCCCGGGATCACACCCCAAAGGGATTCATCCCCCCAGGATCAGGGCCAGGGGGAGGTGACACCCCCGGGATCAGACCCCAAAGGGATTCATCCCCCCCGGGATCAGCGCCTCCCCCCAGCAGCCACCCCATAAATCCCCCCGGAATCAGCACAAGCTGCTCCCCCAAAATCTCCCCCTCCCGGGGACTGGGGAAGGTGCCCTTGCCAAAGTCTCTGGAAAAGGGAGAAAAAAGCTTTAACCATCCATGGAGCGAAGGGAGAGAGGGGGGAAAAAATAAGGAAAAAAGGGGCAAAAAACAACCCACAACACAAGGAGAAAGCGGCGGCGTTACAAAAGGAGCGGCGGGGCCGGGGCTGCTCGGCCGCGCGGGGAGCGGCTCCCGGCCCGGAGGAGCGAAGGAATCTCGGGCTGGGAGCGGGACCGGCGGCCTCTGAAATGTTTGTCTGTCTGTCTGTCTTTCCCCACGCTCTCCGTTTGTTTCTCGGGGCTCCCGGGAGCGGGGCCGGGGCTATTTCTGCCCGCTGATGGACTGGGATATGGAGCGCGGCGGGATCATATCCAGCAGGTATTCCCGCTGCCGGTCCGCCAGGCTCGACGCTTTGTGGCCCCCGATGCCGGCGTTCAGGTACGCGATGTTCACTCCTGGCGGGAGCAGGGACCCTCCGGCACGGCCGACCCCGGGATCCACCCGCGGAGCCTCCC